TACTGTCCTGTATCATCCTGTTACACTCTACTGTCCTGTATCATCCTGTAGTGTTACACTCTACTGTCCTGTATCATCCTGTAGTGTTACACTCTACTGTCCTGTATCATCCTGTAGTGTTACACTCTACTGTCCTGTATCATCCTGTAGTGTTACACTCTACTGTCCTGTATCATCCTGTAGTGTTACACTCTACTGTCCTGTATCATCCTGTAGTGTTACACTCTTCTGTAGTGTTACACTCTACTGTCATGTATCATCCTGTAGTGTTACACTCTACTGTCCTGTATCATCCTGTAGTGTTACACTCTCCTGTCCTGTATCATCCTGTAGTGTTACACTCTACTGTCCTGTATCATCCTGTAGTGTTACACTCTACTGTCCTGTATCATCCTGTAGTGTTACACTCTACTGTCCTGTATCATCCTGTAGTGTTACACTCTACTGTCCTGTATCATCCTGTAGTGTTACACTCTACTGTCCTGTATCATCCTGTAGTGTTACACTCTACTGTCCTGTATCATCCTGTAGTGTTACACTCTACTGTCCTGTATCATCCTGTTAGTGTCCTGTATCATCCTGTAGTGTTACACTCTACTGTCCTGTATCATCCTGTAGTGTTACACTCTACTGTCCTGTATCATCCTGTAGTGTTACACTCTACTGTCCTGTATCATCCTGTAGTGTTACACTCTACTGTCCTCATCCTGTAGTGTTACACTCTGTCCTGTATGTATCATCCTGTAGTGTTACACTCTACTGTCCTGTATCATCCTGTAGTGTTACACTCTACTGTCCTGTATCATCCTGTAGTGTTACACTCTACTGTCCTGTATCATCCTGTAGTGTTACACTGTGCTGTCATGTATCATCCTGTAGTGTTACACTGTGCTGTCATGTATCATCCTGTAGTGTTACACTCTACTGTCATGTATCACCCTGTAGTGTTACACTCTACTGTCCTATATCTTCCTGTAGTGTTACACTCTACTGTCCTGTATCATCCTGTAGTGTTACACTCTACTGTCCTGTATCATCCTGTAGTGTTACACTCTACTGTCCTGTATCATCCTGTAGTGTTACACTCTACTGTCCTGTATCATCCTGTAGTGTTACACTCTACTGTCCTGTATCATCCTGTAGTGTTACACTCTACTGTCATGTATCATCCTGTAGTGTTACACTCTACTGTCCTGTATCATCCTGTAGTGTTACACTCTACTGTCCTGTATCATCCTGTAGTGTTACACTCTACTGTCCTGTATCATCCTGTAGTGTTACACTCTACTGTCCTGTATCATCCTGTAGTGTTACACTCTACTGTCCTGTATCATCCTGTAGTGTTACACTCTACTGTCCTGTATCATCCTGTAGTGTTACACTCTACTGTCCTGTATCATCCTGTAGTGTTACACTCTACTGTCCTGTATCATCCTGTAGTGTTACACTCTACTGTCCTGTATCATCCTGTAGTGTTACACTCTACTGTCCTGTATCATCCTGTAGTGTTACACTCTACTGTCCTGTATCATCCTGTAGTGTTACACTCTACTGTCCTGTATCATCCTGTAGTGTTACACTCTACTGTCCTGTATCATCCTGTAGTGTTACACTCTACTGTCATGTATCATCCTGTAGTGTTACACTCTACTGTCCTGTATCATCCTGTAGTGTTACACTCTGCTGTCACTGTCCTGTATCATCCTGTAGTGTTACACTGTGCTGTCCTGTATCATCCTGTAGTGTTACACTCTACTGTCCTGTATCATCCTGTAGTGTTACACTCTACTGTCCTGTATCATCCTGTAGTGTTACACTCTACTGTCCTGTATCATCCTGTAGTGTTACACTCTACTGTCCTGTATCATCCTGTAGTGTTACACTCTACTGTCCTGTATCATCCTGTAGTGTTACACTCTACTGTCCTGTATCATCCTGTAGTGTTACACTCTTCTGTTCTGTATCATCCTGTAGTGTTACACTGTACTGTCATGTATCATCCTGTTACACTCTACTGTCCTGTATAATCCTGTAGTGTAACACTCTACTGCCCTACCCTTCTACCCTAGGAACCTCACGTGGACCCGATCCCCTTGTCCGACCAGGTGTTTGTTGGTTTTTGAGTTTGGACGGTTTGTGATATTGCCGTTTTTAAACTATCCTTGATGATTTTTTTCCTGGGGGAAAATGCTCGGCAAGGAAGAAACACCCATTAGAGAACGTTTTCAAATGTGTTCACATCTGACTGATATTACGTTCCGTGTTGGAACACAGTAAGACCCTACTTGGTTAACAAACTGCAGGTCAATTTCAGTATCGGTATACTAACACATTTCAAGTTAAGATTCTTCACGAAATAAACCTATAAGACAACAACAGGATAAAAAATGTCTAACCCGGACTTTACCACAAAATCTTTATAAGCGCCATAAGACACGAGATTACAAAGTTGTAAACATCCTACACTAGACCGTGATCTGACAGTTCTCGCTCTTCCATTACAATCTAAATACCCATTTGATTGTTGTCACTGATTGACAGGAACAACACCCTTTAGAATTTCTATGTTGATTTTGTTGTTCTGATTATCACATCAATCAACAACAAGAAAGTGTAGATACATACTGAAGAAATAGTACGTGTAGATACATACTGAAGAAATGGTACGTGTAGATACCTACTGAAGAAATAGCACGTGTAGATACCTACTGAAGAAATAGTGTAGATACATACTGAAGAAATAGTGTAGATACATACTGAAGAAATGGTACGTGTAGATACCTACTGAAGAAATGGTACGTGTAGATACATACTGAAGAAATGGTACGTGTAGATACCTACTGAAGAAATGGTACGTGTAGATACATACTGAAGAAATGGTACGTGTAGATACATACTGAAGAAATGGTACGTGTAGATACCTACTGAAGAAATGGTAGGTGTAGATACATACTGAAGAAATAGTGTAGATACATACTGAAGAAATGGTACATGTAGATACATACTGAAGAAATGGTACGTGTAGATACATACTGAAGAAATAGTGTAGATACATACTGAAGAAATGGTACGTGTAGATACATACTGAAGAAATGATACCTGTAGATACATACTGAAGAAATAGTACGTGTAGATACATACTGAAGAAATGATACCTGTAGATACATACAGAAGAAATGGTACGTGTAGATACATACTGAAGAAATGGTACGTGTAGATACATACTGAAGAAATGGCACGTGTAGATACATACTGAAGAAATGGTACGTGTAGATACATACTGAAGAAATGGTACGTGTAGATACATACTGAAGAAATGGTACGTGTAGATACATACTGAAGAAATGGTACGTGTAGATACATACTGAAGAAATGGTACGTGTAGATACATACTGAAGAAATGGTACGTGTAGATACATACTGAAGAAATAGTACGTGTAGATACCTACTGAAGAAATAGCACGTGTAGATACATACTGAAGAAATAGTGTAGATACATACTGAAGAAATGGTACGTGTAGATACATACTGAAGAAATAGTACGTGTAGATACATACTGAAGAAATAGTACGTGTAGATACATACTGAAGAAATAGTACGTGTAGATACCTACTGAAGAAATAGCACGTGTAGATACATACTGAAGAAATAGTGTAGATACATACTGAAGAAATGGTACGTGTAGATACATACTGAAGAAATAGTGTAGATACATACTGAAGAAATGGTACGTGTAGATACATACTGAAGAAATAGTACGTGTAGATACATACTGAAGAAATGGCACGTGTAGATACGTGTCACTTTTTAGTATTAATGTATAATAAAGGACAACTGTCCCAAATAGACAAGGAAGATACCATGGTTATCAAGAAATTGCTAATATATATATATATAATATGTATGATCAATGACGTAATAGCAACAGTACGGACAAGCGAATTGTCAAAATTTCGAGGCAACCTGCCGCTTTATCAAGACACAAATATTACATAAATTACACACACACATGTATGTATAAAAAAAGTTAAATTTGTTATCATGCTTTTTCATTCCATATTTTTAACGACCTGAGGAATTATAATATGAACTTTCTGACGTCAGTATTTCGCAAAGCGGGAATTTTTAAACACATTCTGTACGAACATGGGATAAATGAATGTTAATATTTGCTTTGAAATATGAATACAATTTGGGTGACAGATTAGTAATCCCCCTAACGGACCACATTCTATCTGTCACACCAATTGCATTCCCGAGGACTGCGTGTTACCATCTGGTAACTGTTCAATGTTTAAAGATCACATGAAAGATGACCAGATATTCCCATATATATTACAAGCTCCTCGAGGAATGCGCTCAAAGTCGTTACAGCGTTTTAATGTTGGATACTGCTGTTAGAGTTATGCCGACAGTCTAATCATAACCGGAACATCTCCTTGCTTCTACTTTTTTAGGAGTGTCCGTGTAAATCTTTCATTTGATCATATTTTACCAGAGTTTTAATAAATTGTGATTGTGTTGACATGCTGGAATTTTCTCTGTTTTTTTTTTTTTTTTTTTCTAAAACTTTTTTTAAGACGACGAAAATTAGTACACTCGATGGAAGAGACTCTGCATCTTAATTTTTAATTGTGATGAAATTACAAGTGTCCTTCTGCCAAGAATTCATCATTTTGTCAATGTCGCATGGGAATGTACCTGTTATTTCAGCATCACTACACCACTGTCGTGGATGTCGCTTTTAATGGCGCGCACTATATCCACAAACTCGAATTATTTTCAATCACGTGACGGAAACAGTATCTTGAAACAGGCACCGACTCTCGATTGAACGATTTTACAAGTGTATTCAAACGATATCATTCACATGTATCAAATCTCAGATATTTGAATGAATTATTCAGAAGTGCCATCTGATATTACAAGGTTGAGAGCAGGAGAAATATGGTAGTAATACGAATCAAATCTAACATTTCTATTCAGCGAAACAATAAAGGATGATTAAGTCCCGGGGCTCTAGATCGATAGGACCTGTCTGTAAGCGCCTCAGTGAAAAAGACTATGTAAACATTATGCTGAATCAGCTTGACGTGTAATTAAAGTATGTTATAAAATATGAATTACAGTTAATGCGGATAACTTGTCCCTATAATAGTTTAAGGCACATGTTCTAATTATCCAAGTTATTTAATTTGTTATACGGATTTCCAAACCAAACATCGTCTGGTGGCATTCTTCATCGCATGGCAACCAATCAAATGTAACTCCGACACTGATTTAACAAACAATAATTTTTTTTTCCAAAATACCAATTAAGCAACCATTTAAACAATTATCCAATGCCAAACAACCATCCAATTTATTCTCCAGCACCAAACAACCATCCAATTTATTCTCCAGCACCAAACAACTATCCAATCTGTTCTCCAGCACCAAACAACCATCCAATCTATTCTCCAGCACCAAACAACCATCCAATCTATTCTCCAGTACCAAACAACCATTCAAACAATTCTCCAGTACCAAACCACCATCCAATCTATTCTCCAGCACCAAACAACCATCCAATCTATTCTCCAGTACCAAACAACCATTTAAACAATTCTCCAGTACCAAACAACCATTCAAACAATTCTCCAGTACCAAACAACCATCCAATCTATTCTCCAGTACCAAACCACCATCCAATCTCTTCTCCAGCACCAAACAACTATCCAATCTATTCTCCAGCACCAAACAACCATCCAATCTATTCTCCAGTACCAAACAACCATTCAAACAATTCTCCAGTACCAAACCACCATCCAATCTATTCTCCAGTACCAAACCACCATCCAATCTCTTCTCCAGTACCAAACAACCATCCAATCAACTCTCCAATACCAAACAACCATCCAATCTATTCTCCAGTACCAAACAACCAGCCAAACTCTTCTCCAGTACCAAACAACCATCCAATCAACTCTCCAATACCAAACAACCAGCCAAACTCTTCTCCAGTACCAAACAACCAGCCAAACTGTTCTCCAGTACCAAACAACCATCCAATCAACTCTCCAATACCAAACAACTATCCAATCTATTCTCCAGTACCAAACAACCAGCCAAACTCTTCTCCAGTACCAAACAACCATCCAATCAACTCTCCAATACCAAACAACCAGCCAAACTCTTCTCCAGTACCAAACAACCAGCCAAACTCTTCTCCAGTACCAAACAACCATCCAATCAACTCTCCAATACCAAACAACTATCCAATCTATTCTCCAGTACCAAACAACCAGCCAAACTCTTCTCCAGTACCAAACAACCATCCAATCAACTCTCCAATACCAAACAACCATCCAATCTATTCTCCAGTACCAAACAACCATCCAACCTTTTCTCCAGTACCAAACAACCATCCAACCTTTTCTCCAATACCAAACAACCATCCAATCTATTCTCCAGTACCAAACAACTATCCAATCTATTCTCCAGTACCAAACAACCATCCAACCTTTTCTCCAGTACCAAACAACCATCCAACCTTTTCTCCAATACCAAACAACCATCCAATCTATTCTCCAGTACCAAACAACCATCCAACCTTTTCTCCAATACCAAACAACCATCCAATCTATTCTCCAGTACCAAACAACCATCCAATCTATTCTCCAGTACCAAACAACCATTTAAACAATTAGCCGTTACGTTTTAAATGGTAGCCAAGACAATACGTTTGGACGTTGGACACCTCAGGCAGGATTTGATTCTGGATTCTAACAGAATGTTAGTGTTACAGCTTCAGTATATTAGAAGGTTCTGTTATCGTTTTTTCTAACTTTTTGCTAATTAACTTTCTTCGTTTCTCTTTCAAGAAACATTGATATTTATCGACTTTAGTTAGATAATATTATCAATTATATCAATTAAGTCCAGGATACGTTTAACGACATCGTATACTACAAGGAATCCGGCGGCGAAGAAATCAATTTGAAGGGAACATTTCTTTATCAATAGAAAAACATCACTGCAGCTCTGCTTTAAAATCTGATACCAAATCATACACAGACTTCGGAAAATGTCAAAAAAAAATCAGAGTCAAATTTAGGTGATTCTGTAGTAGAGAGACAAGCAGGAAAATGGCTGACAGAAACTGGTCTGTTAAGAGTCAGGTTGTCTACTTAAGGTGTAAAATACAAGCTAGACTGTTTAGTACACTTTGTCGGTAAACAAAACGTCTATATGACATTTATTTCGTGTTTGTTTGTGGTTTGGTATTAGACACTCTGTACTGGTGTAATCCTCTCAGATCGCTGTTTCCGGACAGATGTCCAGTTTGGTCACAGGGAAGGAAATGTGATTGTATTACAGTTACTTGGTTTCATAAAATCTAAAAGAAAATTGTCGAGTATAGAGTAATCAATATTAAAAAGTAAAAATTGATATTTGTACTATTTTAGTCATTTTGGTGTCATTTCTTAATGATTCCGCTATATCAAGCACGGCCATATTGTACGATTGACGTCACATGACCTGTCTCTTGACCGACTGTCAAACAACCAGTCTCGTTGACGTCAGTCGAAATTCGTTAATGCATATAAAGAAAGGGTTGGTATAGCGTTTGAGAGGTCCTATGGTTATACATACTTTTATGATATTAAATGTCAGAATTGTCAGTTTAAGGACTCGTCGATTTTCCTGACACGATGGTAATAATACGTACACAAAGACCTCTTGACTGGTGTGGTCAACATTGTGGTACCTATCATCCTACAGCCATACCGAGGCTTATCGAGATAAAGATATGAATATTCATGACTGCAAAGACATGTTAAATCTAACAAAATCTCTCTCTCATTTCTGTCTTTATTTTGTTTGTCTTCATCGATTACACGATGGAAAGACGAGTACTAAACCTTCCTCTGACACGCTGCCATTTTTGGGTCTGTCCATATGTCGTGATTATACAGATTGTATGAAGTGAGGTGCAGTCGGTGGTATATTGATGTAAAGAGAATGATGGGATTCCTGGCTTGAACATTCACCAACAGTGAATCGTAGTACACTTACATAACATTCGGGAATAGTGAAGATGACAGACGATAGTAACTGTTATAGAGCAAGGAGCTCCACATTGGATCAGAATCTGGATAGCTTCTTCGTGTTTTTCGCTTTTATCGGAAACTTGTCAAAATCTCTGAAAAAATCTGTCGTTTATTGACAGTGTTTTCTGTGTTGAACTGGAATTACTCTCTGTCGGTCGATCGCCTTAGTGGAGATATACATAAACACAAATCTAGATTTAGGTATCTTCAGCTGCTGTAGATCGACATAGGACCAGCAATACCTTGTCTATGTTGTTACAGTGACATTATTTCAATGAATCATAACAATATACCCCAAATAATGATCCACCAGCATCATATAATCTGTTCTCTATTTGTATAACGACACGAGAAAGGAAAAATTAGAAATGTTGGGGAGAGAGCACAGGCAACACACAATAATACAACACTACCTACTAAACCTTAAGACTTAACGATGTTTGAAAGTCTGGTGGTCAAAATTTCTTTGATTTAGAAAAGAAGAAATTTAAAATTTAACTTTGGTTTAGGAGATGATTCTTTCGAAGGTCAGAGTTAGGGAAGTAATTTAAAAGCAAAAAATTCGAAATGTTGCTGCCTATTTTTCGATACAGGCCTCAGAGGATATGTGTTATAGGATAAAATCACCTGTTATAACAGACATTTTGATCATAATCGAGGTGCGGCATTTTCAAAAGGATATTTCCGCTTTTATTGAAAAAAAAATCAAAAAGCCAACAATGTTAGAATGTTGCATGGACCATAAGTGTTAAAATGATGTGAAATTGCCCAATTCTTTTGATTTAACAAGGTTAAAATGCATTGCAACCAAAAATGAAAATTCTGGATGTCGTAGGGAAATAGTTGGGGGTTTTTTATGATTAGAATGAGGCAGTCGCTTTGATTTATGAAAAAATGCAATGTTCGCTCAATAACTAAGCTCAGAAATATTTGTTTTCTAGTCCTGCAAATCAAGAATAGGTAGTTTATGATTTATGGTGATCACTTATACAAAATTTAGTTGAAATTTTCCAAAGACTCCCAGCGTTATGACATTTAAATTAGCAACGAAAATTATTGACGTCATGAACCGAATTACGCCATCAACATTGCACCGTCAAAAATGAAGTCCATAAGCGAAAATCATATAAAACGTCATATAAAGAGCATTATTTCATTATTAAAGTTATAGAGTCTAAAACAATACGTTGGTGTTCAACTTATATTGAATTATGTTCTACTTCCTGTCAATCGTGACCTTCCTATATTCTTGTCGTCATTCGTCACATCACAGAACACAATCCACTGGCAACAATGGACATGCACTTAATGCCATTTCTATAGACAGTTTTAGGTATGATAATTAAGCTGCATTAGCGCGACCCAGAATTAAGTCGTTCGGAACGCAACTATGTGGCAACAGTAGAAATGTCATTCATGCTCGCGTGCGTGTTATCAGCGTCATTTAGACGCTTTCCACATCCATATGTTATCGGTTTTCTTAAAACGCTTTGCATCCGTAGGTTATCAGCTTCCTTCAAACGTTTGACAACCGGATGACAAGGAACCTTTACAACGAACAGAGAGAACCAACAAAGTCATCAAGTTTCCTAATCAATATATTCGTTCTCTATTGTCCGTGGCTCTCGAAAATTCGGTCATATCTAGCTCGCCTCGACAATCACGGCTATTAATACTATACGTAGAACGCAGCGTGATATTACATACGTTAAACGTCAATAAAGCTGTATAACACACCGTGAAATTACATGCATTCCATTGTAAAATATGTAGGCATATTGATGAAATCCGAGGTTCATGGCTGTGGCGGTCTTACTGACACACCGTACAGTCATTTCGTAGGGAGAAATACAATGTAGAATACGATAGCCTTTATTTCGAAGGTCAAATCTTGGTGGTTTACAATCTGTTCGCATGTGTTCCTGATTGTGATAACATGATTGTGGCTTGTACCTCATTCTTCATGACTGACAGTTTGATCGTACAATTCGTTGTCAATGTTTTCTTGACCTCCATATCGTTGTACCGAATTATACCGAATAGTGCCGAATGATAAATTTACTGATAACTGAGACAAGAGAGCAAATAATGTTTTGCACTAAGGACAACGACTTCGGATGACACACTTCTAGAACGAAAAAGACACAAGAATAGCGTAAACCGCGTGTTGATAATTTGGTACAAAAATGTAGCTTTGTGATGTACAATCTATAACTACAGTTCTTTTCAAGTAAAAATAAAGAAATTTTAAAAAATATTGTAAAATAAAAGTGTTCAACAACGTAGTGATATTACATATACGGGTCATGGCGTTTCAGTATGACGACACTACATTACGGTCCCTGTTGTCAGACTAATGTGATCAAGCTGGCTGTCATATTTCTGGGCCAAAGCTATCACATTTCAACATGACGACTCTGAAAAAGATATCTGTTGTCAGTATTATGTGATAGGGAAGGGCTGTTGTCAGAACCACGTTTCGGCATACACTGAAAAAGTGATTGGTATAATGTGATCAGATTGGCGGAGTCATAGTCATGTGTTATGACATTTCGGTTTGATAGCACTACAAAAGAGTTAAAGCCGATTTGTTACAGCGTACCAATCTGTAACATTCGTGTAATAATCTCTTAATCTAAATGGCCAAAGTTGTTACAAATGTTACTGCAACAAGTTGCCACTTTGTAACAAACTGGCTCGCTACAAAACGTTCTTTCCTATGAGTCCCTGTTATCAGTGGACACAAAAGAAATGGTTGTAGTTGACGAAGTAGACATTTCTAGATCCTAGAAATGAGCCGGAGATATTTCCCGTCCATCGGATAACATGTGTGATACTTCGACCAGTTTTACTGTTGAGATTTCATTAGAACGAGAGAAGTGCACTAGATGATGTCAGCGGTGAAAAAAAAAGATATAAAATATGCGAGAGCTTGGAGAAGCCGGACCTATCATTTATTCATGTGTAACTCAGTACTTAATTTAAAATTTGTCGCTTTTAATCACTGCACTGAGTTCGGTAAAGTTGTAAACGTAATTAACTTGAAATTTCCGCTTCCGTATATGACGGAAGTCGGCAGTTCTAGGCTCTCTAGAGATAATTAGTACTTTATTTAAAACAAAAGAAACTTTTAACGTTGTCTTTGACAAAAACTCGGCCGTTATAATGTACTTATCGATCTTAGTTCGTCAGCGTGTGTATCGATCCGGATACTTCAACATGTTGATTGTACCATGGGCGTTTTAGATCCAACTAATTTATGTTGAAAAATAACTTCATACATCGAAGAGTTTTTCTTTTCGTTTTCCTTAATAAATGTGATATAGAGAGAAATGTATTATTCTGTCATCGCTTATCAAACACAAGACAAATGTGTTCCGAGAAGTTTGCGTCGATCGTGACGAAGTTGCATTAAGAATATGAAAATATATATGTTCTTGCTGTATAGTTGATGGTTGTGCTGCGTGTTAGAAATACGAACAAAATGGCGTTTCCTCACGACTAGGAAAACCTGCGTGACAAACCACAGTTGAAATCAGAACACTTCCGTTTTCTCAATTTACGGATACAAAATTGCACATGCTTCGAAATCATAATTTTGTTCCATACG